GTAGGGTTTGCTTTCAGTTGTTAAGAACGGGGTAAAAGCCTGGAAGTCAAGAAAGTGGAAAGCAAAGCCAGCTGGTCAACTAGTTAGGCCTCAAGGGATCAGTACATTTCTTATCTCTTGCAAGTTATTCCCAGGTGATGCAGGGCTTGGTTTCTCAGGTCCTTAAAACATTATAGGTATTAGGCTACTCGAGATAAAGAATACTTTGAAGTCATATTGCTGGGTCAGCTCTGCAGGCAGGAATCCTGTAGCATGCCTACTAGGTGTTGTGCTTTTACCTGAATATAATTCTTGGTGTCTCCCTTTATCCCCACCCTCAATCCTGGGCTCCAAGTGGGTGCTTTGGGAGAAGAGTTAGGACCTGAGTATCTCCCTGACTTATCCTCCAAAGAACCTGCAGATAGAACATCAGAAATGCATCTTTTATCTTAAAACAGGGATGCTCTTTTGGCTTGAAAGCTAGGCTGGGGCTGCCAACATTATTAGGAATACGTCAGAATGTGAGGCTGACCATGAGATGTTTGGCTTTGTATGCTGAGATGAAAACATTATCCCAGCTACTTGCCTGGGAGACACACAACCCCATGGGTGAGGAGACAAAGACATCTTGTTTAACTTTTTGGTAGACCTTCATAGTCCAGACATTATAGGGTGCCCCCTATTCCATTTGGATGTGACATCAAATGTCACTGTTTTCATTACTATGTAGATGGAAGGACTGGGTAAGCCCGGCTAGCAGCCACAGATGTACCTGAGCTTGTCACGGTCAATACATAGAGAGCACAGGGGCACCCTGGGCAGCAGAGCTCTTCCTGGACTCCAGGGACACAGAAAATAGCTAAGACACTGTCCTTACTTACTATCTAGTTGGAGATATGTAAATATGTACTTGGGCACAACTGATAATTATAACAAAAACGTGCTCAAACTTCCCTAAATGATTGAGGCGGTTTCATGACTGTACTTTTGGCTGTGTTGTTGTTTCCCATATTTGGAACACTTCCCCTCCCTCCAATTATTTTAGAGCTAGACCTAGACCATACTATTTGAAGTTTTGATACTAGATCAGGCTAGACAGACTGGCAGGAACTAGGGTGTGAAAGCTTTATGTGGAACCCTAAGCAGTTTGGACACTGTGCAGAATTCAATGGGACACTTTCTGAAATATCAACATGTATAAATATTGGTAGGAATGACCTAGAGGAAGGAAGGAAACCTTCCTTATTATGGGCTCTTGAGAAAGCGTGAATGGAACTGCTAAGTATTCAGAGTGCAAGTAGACATCTCTTTGGAGATGCTTGTGGGTAAAAGGGATCAGAGAGAAATGGGTGGAGAGAACTGCAGGTCAAAAAACTATTTTAAAATGACAAATATTAGCCGGGCGGTGGTGGCGCACGCCTTTAATCCCAGCGCTCGGGAGGCAGAGCCAAGCGGATCTCTGTGAGTTCGAGGCCAGCCTGGTCTACAGAGTGAGTTCCAGGACAGGCACCAAAGCTACACAGAGAAACCCTGTCTCGAAAAAACAAAACAAAGACAAATATTTGAGAATATCTAGTGTTTGAAGGGAAGAAAAGTACCCATTCATTTGTTCCACCATTGCTTCACAAAGTGTGAGAGATCATCATATTCATGGTAAAGTGGATGGGTGGAGGCTTCCAAGACTAGAAGTGGTGAATGAATGCTAGTTAGAGGATGATGTCCACATGAAGATGAGGACGATATTAAGCGAGTGGAATTAAAATGAGACAAAACGCAGAGAATTCACAGCCCTTAATGTCTGTCTCCTTTCATAGTTGCCTTCCTGTACCACCAAACTCTCAAAACCCCTTGCCATTTCGGACCTTCAACTCTTCCACCTGGAACAAGGCACCCACTGTTCCTATCTTAACAGCCATGACCCTACCTACCCCACTTATCCCCCTCAGTGCTGGAGATGGATCTCAAGGCCTTCCCTGTGCATAGCAAGCAAGTGCTCTCCCACTAAAGTACACCCTTCCATCTCTAGGTTTTACCTTCTGGAAGCTGAAACATTAGGAAGCCTGGTTTCCGTCTGACAAATCCTAACCAACCGTGTGACCTCCAGCAAGCCTCTACCTCTCTCCAGACCGCCTCCATTACCTTAATGAAAGGGTCAAAGGGCGATCCAAATGTAAGGCCGTTAGTCTCTGCAGCACTTTTCTCACTCCATGCAGTCAGGGCCCTAAGCTGGGAGCCTGGGAACCTGATCTCTTGGTCAGGCATCTGCTGATTCAACATGTGACCTTGAGCAAATCAAGTGCCTTTTCTGAAGGCTTCGCTTTCACATTTCTACACAGGGGACAACTCTTGGAGCGGTCTTCCTCATAAGGGCTTTAGAGTTCACCTGAGCGTTCTGAGAACTAAGCACAAGCTGTGGGAAGATCCCAAGGCTCTGCAGAGACCAGCGATGTGACCTCAGGCAAGTGACCTGGCCTCTCTGAACTTAGAAACAAACTATTGGTATAGTGGGGACAGTACAAGCCCACCAAGTAGGGTAGTGTAGTAGCAATGCCGGAAGCTCTGCCCGCGCCGCGAGTCCCAGCCCCCAACCCCCAGCCGGTCAGGACCGCACCTGCGCAGCTGCTGGATCTTGTCCCGGTAGCGGTCGTAGAAGGGGTTCGCTTCCAGCTCGCTGACCCCGCTACCGTCTGCTCCCCCCGAGGGCAGGCCGGAGCCCCGGCGTACCGGGAACACGCGTAGCTGTGCTGGTGACACGAACCCCAACCCCAGGGCGCGGCTGCGCACTGCACACAGCCCCCGGTAGAGGCCGGCCACCTGCAGGACCGCGGGGCACGCTCCACCCGCAGCTGATACCACAGCCGCCATGGCCGCCCGCGCCTCCCCCTCCTCCTCCTCCGGAGCGTCAGCCTCGGCCCCCGGCCCGCGCGCCTGCTCCATCGCCTTCAAGGTCCGCGACGCCGATGCTCCGCCACCCAGGTTCCGCGCGCGCAAGGTTCCGGGTGCCCGAGTGGATAAGGGACAGTGAGGCTAAGGGTTGGTGGCTCTTGTCTCTGCCCACCCGCTCTGTGCGTCTCCTCCCGGGAGTCTGCCGGGATTCACGTCCTCCCTCCCGGGACCAGCAGCCTCTGCGCGCCAAGCTTCTTCTGAAAAGCTGACTTGGATCTTCGGCTTCTCACTGGGCTTGCCCCTTTTCTAAATTTACTTGGCACTAGCTGTAACAGTTCCTTTAGCAGCAAAGGATGTTTGAACATCACAGCTGAAGCTTCTCTTTTTTGGTTTCTATTTGCAGAAGGTCCTATTGGCCTTCATAATACCTATGAAGTAGGTATTACCCTCATTTTACAGATGGGAAAGCTAAACTGGCTACAAATCGTTGAGATACCAAGTTCCACCTAAGAGCTGAGCTCTTTTTAAAACGCGTTGCCTCTGAAGTCTGGGTTCCTTCTGGTTCCTGGCATTTTTTTTTTTTTTTTTTTTTTTTTTTTCGAGACAGGGTTTCTCTGTGTAGTTTTGATGCCTGTCCTGGATCTCGCTCTGTAGACCAGGCTAGTTTTGAACTCACAGAGATCCGCCTGGCTCTGCCTCCCGGGTGCTGGGATTAAAAGCGTGCGCCACCAATGCCCGGTTCCTGGCATGTAATTGAACTACTCTCAGAGATACTAGGAATTGTCCTTGACAAATCTTTATTCAGGCTCTTTTTTCATCCTTAGAATGTGTCGCCCCCCTCCCCAACTAAAATGCCACCATCTTCACCTGCTGAACATCATCTCCGTCTCACCAGCTGCCAGCATGAGTGTACCCTATGTGAGGGCAGTCCCATGGAAGTCCTTATCTGGGCCTCAGTTGATAGGAACCTCTCCTGAGGCAGGAACAGCCTCCAAACTGTTCAGTGCAGCCTGTCATTAGACATCAGACTCCCAAGGCTGGAACAACGCAGTGGGTGATTTTGAAAGTCTCACTTTGCTCCCCTGTACCTGGCTCAGAATTCCTGGGTCAGGATTCTTGCACGTGTTGTTTCCTCTGCCCAAATACTGCCTCCTCATCATCCACAACTCAGTTCAAATCTCAGCACTTCAGAGATACCTCTCTTAAAAAAATTATGTGTGTTGAGGTTGGGGGAGGCAATTGTACGGCAGTGAGAAGACAGTCTGAGGAGTAGGTTCTCTCCTTCCTTCTTTCCGTGGGTTCCAGGGATCCAATGCAGTCACCAGGCTCACATGGCAAGTGCCTTTAACCTGCTGAGCCATATCCCCCTCACCCCCTTTAGAGTCTATATTTACTCTACTTCACCCTGTTATCTCACTCTACCTTTTACAGAAGTTATCATTATCTAACGCTTTAAGTCTGTGGTGGTTTGAGGGAGAAATGTCTCCCATAGACTCAGGTATTTGAACACTTACTTGGTTCCCTGTTGGGGGAGGCTGTGAACCTTTAGGAGGTGGAGCCTTGCTGGTAGACGGATGTCACAGGGGCAGGCTTTGAGAGTTCGTAGGCTTGCCTCACTTCCGGTTATTGCTTTCTGTTCCTGCATATGGATAAGGATGTGATCTCTCAGCTTCTTGCCCCATCCACCTGCTACCATGCCTCCCCTGTCATTACAGACCCTCTTTCTGGAACTGTAAGACAAAAAGATTCTTGTTCTAAAAATTGCCTCAGTCATGGCTTTTTTAATTTTTTTGTCATAGCAACAGAAAAGTAACTAATGCAAGCACCGTATTTTCATAAATCCATGGAGTTTACATTTTAGTAGAAAAAGATAAGTGACAGTGCTTGTATGTAGAAAGAACAAAGGAAGATGAGGGGCACAAATAGGGAGATTGCCCAAGCAAGAGATCTGTGTGAGATGAGGGGCTGGTTTATCTGGAGACTTGCAGGAACTGACTAGCTCAGGGGAACAGCAAATGCAAACGTGATTTTACTGTTGTGAAAGAGTGAGAGGTTGTCCCAGTGGGTGAGGGGACAGAGGTAGAGATGGCACTGAGTTGGGTGGTTAAACTGATCAGGGCTTTGGAGGCTGTGGTTAAGAACTGGCTTTTAAGCTGAGTGAGATGGAATGTTGCCATAGGCTTTGAGCAGAGGAGTACATGGCCTACTCTTTCAAAGGATCGTCCTGACTGCTGGAATTTGCTCCAAAATGTGGAGCAAAAATGGAAACTTCCAAGGTGAGTAATTTTCCTACTTTAAAACCCAAGATTAAGTATAACTTAATAGATAGGCAAGGAAGGATGTCAACCAGACTGTTGGGTATGTGAATCTCAAGTTCTGAGCTGTGTTCGAGCCTGGAAGTATGAAGCTGTGAATTACCAGTGTATTTGTGTTCTTTAATGTTACAGATGTGGATAAGCCCACCCAGGAGGGAATGGAGATAGAATGCTAAAGACTAAGCCCTGGAGCATGCTAACACTTAGAGACCAGGAGAAAGAGGAAAACACCAACAAAGGAGGAGCAAAAACTGTGGGCAATAAGGCGGAGCCAAGGGAAAAGGCATTCTGGGAAGAACTCTGTAAAATAGTGCCTGCTCTGGTTTGAATCTGAAATGTCCTCAACCAGCTCATGTTTTGGGGACACTTGGCCCCCAGCTGGTGGCACTATTTTGGGAGGCTGTGGAAACTGTGAAGAGGTTGGGCAGAAGAAGATCACAAGAGGCAGGACTTTGAAGGTTATGGCTCAGAGCTTGCCTCTGGCTCTGCACTCAGCTTCCTGTTTGCTGAAGTATGAGCAGTGGTCTTCTGCCACATATTCCTCTGAGGCTGTGGTGTCCTGCCCACCCACATGGGACCAAGCAACTATGGTCTGAACCCTCTGAACCAGGAGCTAAATGAAACCTTTCCTCTTTACACTGTTTCTGATATTTAGGTCATAAAAACAAAAGTAACCAAATGTGTCTCAAGGCACAATGGGGGCCTACAAAAGGAGTAAAACCAAAAGGTAAGAATTCAGGCTAGAACCAGTTGGTGTCTTGCTGTGGGTTTTTTTTTTTTTTCTGTATGCTGTGAATATGTGTTGCTCTGATTGGTTGATAAATAAAACTGCATTGGCCTATGGCAGGGCAGGATGGAGCTAGGTGGGAAAATCCAAGAGAGACAGGGAGGAGAAAGGAGAGTGAAGCAGACGCCAGGAGAAGCAAGATATAAAAGTACCAGTAAGCCACAAGCTACGTGGCAAAGTATAGATTTATGGAAATGGGTTAATTTAAGATATAAGAGCTAGCTAGTGAGAAGCCTGAGCCATTAGGCCATATAGTTTGAAAATAATACAAGCCTGTGTGTGTTTATTTTGGTCTGAGCGGCTGCGGGACCGGGCAGGACACAGGAAAACTTCCAGCTACAGTATATCCTCCTGTGAGTTAATTTAGGCTTAACTCACAAGGGTTTTCTAACTGAGCTACCCATAAATGGATCAAGTTGCCTTAAGTAATAAGCAAGGCTCTGGCTTCAATAGATGCTGGGGGATTGGTTGCTGGGTAGGTGAGACCTGTCTCCACAGGGCTCAGGGAGTTGAACTCAACAACTCTAAGTCTCTTCTGAGAAGAAAACTGAAAGACTGTTTGCTACACAGCCAGGGGTTAAGCTGAGCCAGGAAAGGTACTCAGTGGTAAGATGAGAGGAGCAGCACTCTCAGGGAGGAAACAGCATGAGCAAAATTCCCAAGGTGGTGTGTGTGTGTGTGTGTGTGTGTGTGTGTGTGTGTGTGTGTGTGTGTGTGTATGTAGGGGGGATGTCTGTTGGGCTGGCCAGAAGGGAATGGAGTTTGAAGGATGAGGAGGGGGTTAGGTTGGAAAAGGATGCAGGACCAGATAGAGGAGAGCTCCCACAGGGCCCGAGAACACCTGCCAGCACTTGCTGAAGGAAGGAAATGAAACAAATAAAAGAGATTGTAAGAGCCAAAGGAGGTGCTCACTACTTGGTTCCTTTGAGCCAGTTTTCTTCTGACAACTTGGACCAAGATTTGTAGAGGGCAGGCATGCCCAATGCTCTGTGTGTTCTCTGTCCCAATCGGCATTGGGTAAGGTACCCAGCGGTGTTTCCTTAATCACCAACCGAGTGGTTAGCTCCTTGAGAGTGCCAGGGCCCTTTTCTGGGGGCTCGCTCTCCTGGCTCACTGCAAGGATGAGGGCAGACAGCTCTCCTGGTGGCCCAGTCCTTGGTAGAAGCAGTAGGTAATCGTTTATGAGATGCCGCTGCATGGGTTCCTCCCTTCCATTATCAGGACTACTCCACAAACATGGCCCCTGGAATGCCCAGTGGACAGAACCTGGTGACCTTTCCTTTAGAGAACAATGAGGCCTGGGCCTTCTGAGGACTCCTATTGGTGGAGAGATGTGAATTTCCTCTCCCCAGAGCGACAGGCTGGGTGCCAAGGCTGACTGACCTCTATGGATTCTCAGAAGGAGGACCTGAGCCTTCCTGGCAGTAAGTGCACCATCTCTAGTCCCTGCCTCTCACTTTGTGCTCTTAGGCATGCTGACAAATAGTTAGGGAAAATATTTTGCATGGCTGGAGGAATGGTGGCTGCTTGGAGTGCTAAGCAATTAGATGACAATCTGTTCTAGAAACATAAGGACTACTGGAAAGCTGACTTAGCTCTTACCATTTCCAGACCCAGTGTTTCTTATCTGTAAATAGCTAAAATGATCCCTTAAGTAACTTGGAAGTCTAGTGTTGAACAAGAGAATGAGGAGGGAGGGAAGGAATTGAAAGAGTAATGGTGACGAGGTCAAGGAGAGGAATGAGAAACAGCTCCGAGCTTACATGAGTGCATCAGATTTCTTTCTCACTGCCTTAGTGTGGATCTCCTTGTGCGTTGGATTCCTGGGGCTGTGTTCCTCGCTAATAGGCAGCTGCATTCTCTTTCTGCACTGGAAGAAGAACTTGCAGAGAGAAGAACATGCCCAGCAGTGGGTGGAAGTGATGAGAGCTGCCATGTTCGCCTACAGCCCACTGTTGTACTGGATAAACAAGCGCTGTCACCATGGCATGAACGCAGCCATCAACACTGGCCCTCCCCCTGCTGTCACCAAGACGGGGACCCAAGTTCAGAATCCAGATTCTCTGTGGGAGCTGAATCTCTCTGAAGGCGGAAACTATGTTGTGCGAGACAGCAGTCCCAGGGGAGAAGCCTCCAGTCCCTCGAAACATGTTCTGGTGGTCCCCAAACAGCCCCGGTCTTCAACAATGCCACAGCCTTGGACTGACTCCTCACCCCCAATTCCCATTTTTCAGGAGGTGCCCTTTGCCTTGTCCCTCTGCAACCTACCTCCCATGCTGAACCACTCTGTCTCCTACCCTTTGGCCAACTGTCCTGAAAAGAATGTTCATTTCTCTTCCCTCCCCAAACTGGCCCACGGAACAAACTGCTTTAATGCCAAGCCCTTTGCTTCTGAACTGTAGTCTCCTCTCATTGAGGGAGGGAGCTGCAGGTACCAAGGCTCCTTTTGGTGGAAAACAGAGATACCCTCAAGGAGTTGGTTATTGACAAGGCTAGAACTATCTGGACATTACATCATGAAAGATTAAAAAAAAAAAGGGTCTAAGTCTCTCCTGTCTCACCTGTTTCTAGAAGGGCAATGTCTTGAGTATGTGACTGTAGCACTTTGCAAATCAATCTGGTCACGAGTTTCACCGTTGCATGTTCCGGGAACTGGAGTTTAGCAGTTTGGGAGACTGGACTCAATCTTCCTCCATCCAGTATTCAAGCCCAAATGAGTGCCAGGCTCTGACTTAGGCCTCCAGGCACTGCAGTTCAGCAGGATGGGATGGGAAGCACAGCTGCCACAAGAGGACAGTTGTTGAGGGCTGGGTGACCCACACTGGCTATGTCATAGGCCTAACAAATGCCACTACAGTATAGATGGACTGTTATTTGCCATGTATTGATTCTTAGCTCGCTGTCTTTGTCCTTTATTTCTAATATTCCCAAGAACAATGCCAAATGGCTGTTCTTCTGATCCTCCTGTTAGAGATGCAGACTCAGGTTCTCAGGGCATATGCCCTCCTTGTTGCATAGCCAGCTCTCCAGTTCACATTTTCCTGGCATCTAACTTCCTAGCATTTCTACTGTACCCCATGGTATATTTGCTTAGTCATATCTTGTTAGAACAGTTTGGTTAAAAGCATTAGTGTAGGGGGGTTGCCATTAACTTGACTGGCAGACTGGTTGATCAGAGTATCTTCTAGAATTACACCTAGTTTGTATTGTATACTTTCTTTCCTCCTTTTCTTCTATTTTCTTTTTTTGAGATGGGGGCTCACTATGTTCCAGGCTAGCCTGGAACTTGTGTATGTTAGGCTACCTTCCTGCCTCAGTCTTCTGAGTACTGGATTTCAGGTTTGTATCCCTATACTTGGCTTTATTGCTTAAATCTTTCTTTAAATGTTTAATTTTATGTGTATGGATGCTTTGCCTTCATGTATGTGTGTTTGTGGAAGCCAGAAGAGGGCATTAGATTCCCTGGAACTGGAGTTAACAGACAACTGTGAACCTCTACGTGAGTGTTGGGAATTGAACCTGGGTTCTCTGGAAAAGCAACCACTGCTCTTAACCACTGAGCCACCTCCCCAGCACCATTTATATCTTTCCTAAAAATAAACATGATTCCTCAAAAGTTAAGATCCATTACATGGGAATGTCAACACCTCCTGAAAAAGTCCTTAAAGGACTGACAAAGATTACCACTACCTATTTGGTTCAGTTTTGAGATTAGAAGGAGTGGCTCAACCATAGAATAGGAATTTCTCCTTTTCATCCCCCCCCCCCCCAGTGCTGGGGATTGAACACAGGGTTTTGTGCATGCTTGGCAAGTGCTCTACCATTGAATTATGTTTTCCCAGACCTCCTTTCACTAGGGAAATCAGCCAAACCCATGTTTGTAAATGATGGTTTATGTATAAACTGCTTTGAGTGGAAGGCTCACTCAGATTTTGTGTATGTATGGTAAGGGAGAGACACGGGGATCCCCAGAACTTGGTAAATATGTAATTAATTCCTTTATATGTATATAAAAGCCCCAGTCCTGTCTATACAAACTCTTAGCAGTGGATTTTAAGTCCTCTCCAGCCCCCCCAAGTCAACGGACCATTTTTTTAAACCATGCTCTTTAAATAGAATCTGAAAACATAAAACAGGCCTACGTGGCTCTTCTAATGGACCCCAGGCTAGGCTCATTCTTTGTCCTTATCTTGCTCCCTCTCATCCTGAATATGCCTAAAGCCTGAGCCCTACAGCCTTCACTACTCAGGTCAAACACTGTAATTCTTTCATGTCTTTTTTGAAAAACAAAAAACAAAACAAGCAAACAAAAAAAAAAACCAACAATGAATTTCATTTGGGTTGCTTACCAGTGGCTACACTACTTAAGAAAATAAATTTCCAATCCATGACAATCATGAACTGCATTTAAGTTAATGTTAGTTATGTCAGGGAGGGGTGGGGCCTCACGAATGAGCTTTCTGATCCATGATCGGATGCTGGCAGGCTCAGTCTTGTGTAGATAATCACAACTACAGTGGGTCTGAGAGTGCAGGAGCCACGTCAAGCTCAATGTCAGTATTCTACTCCCCTACTTCCTCCAGCTTGTGTATTCTGTCCACCTCGTCTTCAACAATGAGCCCTGAACCCGGAGGGGATATATACATGTCTCATTCACGGATGGACATTTAACCCTCACTTTGTGTGGTTATGCATTTCTGTAGTATGGCCTATGACCTTCCCAGCCACAGGCTTTTGACTGAGCTTATGATACTAGGTCATGAATTCCCTCTTGTGGAGTGGGCCTCAACTCCAAACAGAAAATGGCTGGTTATTCCTGTACTAGAACTGATATTATTGTACCAGTAGGCACATCTTGCCTGGATGGTCAGTAGCACTATGCACAGGATCCACAGCTGACTGTTGATGACTTTTCTACCCCAGCAGCTTAGAGAACACCTTCATGCATTATGAGGGCTATCCATCAGGAAGGAAGCTTCCTGCCTAGTTCCAGCTTGATTTCTGTCCTGTGAACAGAGTATGTTCAGCAAAGGAATATTACAGGAGGGTCTTACAAAGGGGTCTGGCAGGCAACCAACAGCAGAGACAATTCTTGCATTTTCTTTTTTTTTTTTTTGTTAGCTTCAGGAGCCTCCTTGACAGAAAGAACATTGGAATTCCTAAGGTGGATTCTTGAATACTGTTTTGTGACACTAACTAATAGCCTTTGATTTCAAGAGGAGGTAGCAAACAGTCCACAAAAATAGGGATTAAAGCAAGTTTTTCCCTTTAATAATCAGGGGAATCAGGGAATATTTCAGTCAGACACAGTGAGAGAAAGGAAATGTTTTATTTAGATAAATTAAAATGGCTATATTAATAGGAAATCAGTAAAGCTCAAATGAAGTCATGGAAACCTTGAATCCACTCCCTAAACAGAACCAAAACTGCTTATACATTACCAAAATAGCTCCATTAATATAAAGTAGATTTACATTTCTTAATATGAGAAAACAACAAGGTAGGTTAGGTTCATATAACAAACAATACACGCTCTCTCAAGTCTCAGGAATACCCAAATGTATTCTGGCTTGACTGTAAGAGAAGGGACCACATCTAGATGGTTGGTAAGGAAGCCAATGAGGTGTGCAGCAAACAAAAGCTGTCACTAAAAACAACTCAATAGGCCATTATGAGTGTGAGCCTATCAGAGTCAAAATCTTTAGCTGTGACTGCTGAGACCAGAGGGGGGGCTGATAGGGCCGTGTCCAGCAATGACAAAGAGAAAGCTGAAATGGAGGTGAAAAGAGCTGGCAGTGAAGTAAGACTGTCCACTCTTCAGCTCTTGCATTAGACTCATTCTTAAGTGCCAAGCATCGTTCTGCTCCTTAATTGCCACTGCAGTCGTCTTTAAGCTAGGTACTTTTTTTGAGACACGATTTCACTATGTAGCCCGGACTGGACTAGAACTCATTATTTTCCTGCCTCAGCCTCCCAAGGGCTGGGTTATAGGCATGTACTACCATGACTAGCTAGAGGAAGGTTATTCAGTAAATATTACGCTAGATGATACACAGCAACAAAGCAAAGGGCCAAGGAGAATGCTTTAAGAAACTAAGGTGGGAAGCACTAGAGAGCTGCTGACTGACAAGGCCAAACTCACCACCACCATCCAGTTCTTCTCTTAGAGGTGATCTGTGGCTGGTGAAGCTTGACAAACGCAAGGCACTGGATGCACAAGTTAAGACAATATACAAATGAACACCCCAATCCTCACTGAGGGATAGGCTTTTGGGGCTCCTAGGCCAGTGAGTCTGTCCAATTTTTAGCAAAGGAGGATAAGATACCTACCTCTACCCAGGAGATCTGGTAATGCCTCCGGCAGGATGAGAAGACCGTTATGGATACCCGTGGTCAACTCGGTGGGGGAGGGGACAACACATGGCTCAGGGGTGATGCTGGCAGACAAGCTTGAAGGGGAAAGAGGAGAGGAAAGACCAAGAAACAAACCCTGCTTCCCCACGGAAAAGCATACACCACAAAGAGTTAAGGTGTCTTGAAAGTATCTGCCTACAAATAAAAACTTGAAACTAAAAAGGACAAGCTACATTACCCTCAGTATATTTCATATAAATCAGTTTTCAAAAAAAAAATACCTTCCAGGTACAGACATACTATTTATAGTACAATATATACAAATATAGCAGAATAATTCAATTTATTGCTAGAACTTTATTTGGTTATTACAAAATCTGTAAGGGTATATATCTATATATTAAAAAGAAGGGGAGTACAGAAGGCAGCCAGAACAAGAGTTACCTTCAAGTTACCTAAAGTGCCAGGATAACGTTGAAGTGTATTTGCAACCTTTCCAAGAAAGTGAGAGCATAGATGGGCAAGGCAAACGTTAAGGCAAAAAATTTAAAGAGGAAGAAATGTGAGATAAGAAGACACATGCACAGGAAAACTTTATCTTGCCTTCACTGAGTTTTAATTATGTCTAGGGGAAAAAAAAAGCCAACACCAAGCTGAATGTCATGTAAAGGAAATAAAATACAAAAACAAACCAAACCGAAACCCAAACATCTTTAAAGATTTAAGGGTACTAGACTATCCAGAGCTCCCAGGGCAACTTGAACAGAATTCAGTAGGAATGATCTGTACTAAAGAAGGCCACATCACAGCAGCTTCTCCAGAGTTTCCCTGACTGGTACAGCAAAGTGAGGTTCTGTGTGCTCTTCACTTATGTTGCCCAGAGATGCTAAGAACAACACTGGGAGTGTTCTCAACAGACAGTGACATTGGTGACTTCCTTCTAGTCAGACCTTTCATGACTTGCCCACAGAGTATGTACAGGGGGAAGCATTGTACTCGCTTTTCAGATCTGGAAAAACTGCCACCATCACCAGGAGGCCCCTGCTCCAAGCCTGCCTGCTCACTGTGGCATCCTCTGGACAGAAAAACCTATAGCTACTTTTGAGTGGACAACTGTGAGGAAAGAATATGATTTCACATTTTATTTGATCACATTTTGGCTTTCGGCATCCTGCCAAGAAATAAACAAGT